ATTGAGACCATCTCCCCAGACCAAAAACCTTAGGCATCTCAAGGTTGAGAACTCCTTATCTTAAGATGTGATGAAACACTGGCCTAATGAAAGCTCATCACCTTCAGTAAGGCCAGTGGTTCACCCAGTGGCTTCCTCACTGCTGCAGCTGCTCTGATGGAGCTGCAGATCGGGCTAGGTCAGTGGTCAGTAAATCCCTAATTTTAAAAACAGTTATTTAACCATATATGTAGTTGTTTTTTTAATGAAGATTACTTACTTGCATGTGGGATGCCAGGAAAAAGAAAACGAAAAACAAAGGCTGCATTTTATCTTGCATGCAAAAATCCTGCTAAAATGGATACTACAAAAAAAGAAAAAAAAAAGATAACTAAAGTGGAAAAAAAACCCCAAACCCAAAAAAAAACAAAAAACAAACCCAAAATCGCCGCCCCCTCCCTCTCTCAGGAGAGGATGCTATAGGGGGTGAAAAGGATGGGAAGCAGGAGAGCAGCACACAGCTTTCAGATGGCCTTACTCACTTTAACAGAGACTTTGTTCCCCAGAATATCCTTGGATTTACGTGGCCCATTGGCTTCATTTTTGCCACTGCTCTCCTTTTCCGCCCGCTTTCTCATGCGCAGGGTATGCCATGAACATGACTTCCTGTTGTACCAAAAAACGCAGCAATCAAACAGCAAATCATAGCAGGAAGGAAGGATTTGGAGAGGGGAGCCAGCATCCACATTTGCTACTACTGCAATTCCCTGGAAGGTGAAAGCCACTGCCAATATGCCTATCCCAATCTGAGCAATGAGAGTTGAAGTTAAAAACCAAACCAAACTGTTCTGCAAAGCAGATGTTGTGCCACACTTGCTGTTTAAATGCATGGAGCAGGAAAAAAAAAAGTCCATGATGGAAGCAGGCAACTAGAACTTGGTCATCTGGGACTTTGGCTTGCACAAATAGAAATTTATTTTATTTTTACTACAGTTAAAAGACCAATTTGGTCCTCAGTCTTGTTGGTTAAAAGCAGTGAAACAAATGTAAATACATGTGAATTATCTTAATAGATTACTCACCAGAGTAAAAAAAAAAAAAAGAAACTAAGAAATTCAAGGTGTTGCTCCCTACATGTTGCTCAGAACATGAACAGCTCAACAAATAGGAGCTACATCATTAACTTTCCAAGAGATAAGTCATTTCCTAGAATGACAAGCTCTACTGTGCCTGTCAAGACCAAGAATTGCCCATTTGTTTTTGACAATCCGGTTAGACAGGACATCAGTCAGTCCATGGTTTTTGGCTAGCATCGCAACAGGCATGATTTCCAGTACATTTTTCACCCCTCATTACTGCTCTTATGACCTTACTCTTGGAAAAAAAAAAAAAATAGACCACGTCACCCTTTGTAAGGGCAATGCTGTGTTGACAACAGAAATTGCATATCAAAGCAGACATAAAAAATCAAGATAAAATCAAAACAATTCTTAATATGGGTTTCATTTGATTTAAATAGTGAACAGGTTGGGGTCAGGGGGTTATTTGGGAAGGGGTATGTTGTCCAAAGCAGAAAGCTCTCAAAACAGCAGTGTGATGAGCTGGGATCCAGGTTCGAAGCATCTGCCCACCTTTAAGTCATGCAAATTTGATTTGCATGTTCAAGCCCAATGTTTGGCACATGTCATGTCTACAGTACCTTGATACATTTTACAAAGCAAGTTGCCTGTAATCCAACGACCACCTGCGATGCCAATAAAACGCAGTATGTTAGCAAGGTAGGACTCGAAGGATGCCCCACACAGCCGACGCTCCCCCACAAACACTGCGTCTGGTTCCTAAGCGTTTTTTTGGTTATGCTTCAGCTCCTGATGGGAGCTATACAATAGCTCCAATTAAAAAAAAAAAAAAAGTAAACTAACGGCCTCCCAACAGCTGGCTGCCACTGACACAAGGCTGAACTGGGTCACACAGACTGTTTTTGCAACCAGGATTAGTGTCTCCACTGCAAACAGCTGGCATGGGCAGTCATGTTTGAGCACAAGGAGCACCAGAGAGCTCTGCACGTCTCAGGCAGACAGTAAGCGCTGTCTGGTATTTGGGCATTTCTGGAGGAGGTCCAAATTAGATATGCAGAGCAGGGGAAGTTATCCAGCACTTCAGGACTGTTCCGTTTTCCTTTAAGATATGGTAAGAGTCAAGGATGTGGCTGATGGACACCCTGACCCTGACCTCTCAGTGGTGCCAACGCTACTGGATCTACCACATACTTTGTGTAGGGTATTTGCCAACAGAAGAAACAGTTTTATTACGTATACTAATTAGTCAATATGATCTGGCAGACTAGACAGGGCAGAAGATAACACTTGCTCCAGGTTGTTTTTTACCCATTGGACTTCTATTATTTAAGCATCTTTTTGGTTTCAGGGTTGTTTCAGCTGTTTGAGTCTGAAAGTGTGATCTAAGACTTTAAATCTCACTGCAGTGAGAAAGAAGTGCAATGCATGTGTCTTTCAATTTTGTTACTTCTTCCTGGCCACAATTCATACGACTATGTAATCTGACGCAGAATTTGACTGTCAAGCGACCATGAAATCAGAGTATTCACTAGGAGCCTGGTGCTGTGGACGAATGTAAGGGCACGTGGTTGCATATCGTGGTTAGAGAGGAACCTGGGAACGGCCGTGGCAGATGTGCAAGAGACGTGCTAAGCAATTCCTTTGGCTTAACATGCAATTCATAGTAGCATTCATTACTGGCTGACAGGTCAAGTCATAATTTCTCTTAACTGAAACTGCAGCAGAGATCAAATTATTATTTCTAGTGAATCTGTCACAAAATTTGTCCTTGTGTTCAATTCTGCGCCTTGAGGTACTTGTGTAAAGTAACACCGTCTGTAGCATACATCATGCATTACCATCTACGCATTTTAGATGTTAAAAGAAATCAACAGGTATTACTGAAAAGAGGGTTGTACCTTCTGTATTTAATACCAAAAAACCACTTTCTTGCATTAGTCATTTCAGACTGACAAATTTCTAAAAATCAGAAAAGAAAAATATATATCCACACATTTGTTAAATAAGCAACAAAATGTTATAAACAAAAAAAACCAAACCAAACCAAAACAAAAAAAGGGTCAAACTAGTTCTTTTACCTCATTAAAACATGCTCATGGTGAAAATTTATTTTACATATTTAAAATAGTACATTTAAAATTAGTTACATTACAGGTACAATGATGAACATTGCGACTATCCATTATATTGCACAACCTGACTTCATCAATATGAGTTTGTTTCTTTTCTTTTTCTCTTTTTTAAATAGTGCAAAATACTTTATACAGGAATGTACTTGGATGGGGGTCTTGCAAACCAAAAAAATATGTTACAAAAGTTACTGCGAACAGAAAAAAAACCAAAATAAAACAAACCAAAATAAAAAAGATACAAGCTGTACAAGGAAATTGCCATAGACAACAAAATCTCTCCTCCTTGAGAAGCGAACCTCAGTCCAACACGGGGCCTGGATTTTTTTGTGCTGTTTTTTTTTGCTAGATGCTGTTATAACCAATATATAGATTAGCAACTTAATACAACATAAATATAAGTCCAGTCAAGAAGGTCCATGTTGTTGTAAAATGGTGTAACGTAAAACATGTCTTTAACCATCTATGGTTTTATTTCTCTCCAAAGTATAAACAAAACCCCACAAAATGAAAATAACCAAAACCCGAGCTATCCACCATGGCTGCCCGATGCTGCGGATTGACCAGTCAGCTTGTT